AATTGTTTTTCATTTAATTCATATTTAATTGATTAATATTTTTACTATTATACTATATATTTGATTCAAATAAATATTTATTTGATAATAACCAAATACACCGGTATTTGAATCAAATAAATTTTTTTTTCAGTGTACTTTTGTATACGAATTTCTTTGAATTCCATAAATTGAAAGAATTTATTTTATTACCGCAATTATGCCAAGAAAAAAAAATTTTGCCCCCCCAACATTCTTTTGATAAACTTTTTAAGTTTCAGTCAAATTATACCATATTGCAAATATTCATGAATATTTAAGAATTTTTTTTTTTTTTCAATATTCATATAATAAACATGCGCATTTTGCATTATTTTCAATATATGAATTATGAAAATTAGTTTTTTTTAAAAAAAATAAATTACTCTCTTTTAAAAGACTGAAAATTTAAAGACCAATGCGGGTTAAAGTTTTTTTTAGAGCACAAAAAAAAAATGGGAATTTATTCAGAGATGACCTGCTCTGGTTCAATAATATTAAATGATCGCGAAAACAATGGCATTCTACGAAAGTGCAAAACATCCACGCACGCTTTTGGAATAATTGTTAAAAGTAAATATATGTTAAATATTTCAATTTCACTTTAAAAATAAGAAAAAAGTTTTCTCTCTCACATTAAAAGTTATAATAGGTCAAGTGAAAAAATTTAAGGTTTAGAATGCGAACAATTTAATTAAAAATCAAATTAATTATTATAGTGAAAAAAAAATTTATTTGCTTCAAATACTTGATTATACTTGACTATATTATTAAATAAAATATTTACTTGAAGCAAATAATTTTTATTTGAATTAAATAAATTGTATTTGTATCAATAATTTTTTGTATTTGAAATAAATACACTGAAAAAAAAAATTTATTTGATTCAAATACCGGTGTATTTGGTTATTATCAAATAAATATTTAATTGAATCAAATATTTCTTATTTGAATCAAATATATAGTATTTGAAGCAAATATCATTTATTTGATTCAAATAAGAAATATTTGATTTAAGTAAATATTTATTTGATAATAATTAAGTAATCGATTATTATTTGAATCAAATAAATTTTTTTTGCAGAAAATGTTTTTTTTTTTTTGCTTTTATTTATATATATATATATATATATATATATATATATATATATATATATATATATATATATATATATATATATATATATATATTTTGAAATTGCATAGTGCAAAGTAAATTTGACAAAGTTTCGTGCCGTTGAGAATTATTGACGACGACGAGGATCCCATGCGGGCTATATAATCGAAAAGGAAGGGATATATGACCGAAAGCCGTTGAACTTTCATGAAGGCATGACACGCCGATGAAGTAGAAAGTGGAAAACGATCATCTTAAATTGGCAAATACACATATATCTTTGCCATTTTTCAATAATTTAGTCAATTAGCCAAAAAAAATTCCTTTTTGAAATTTTCTATTTCGCAAAAAAAAAAAAGAAAAAAATCTAATTTTTTGAGAAATTGTATCTATTTTTGTTATTTAAATTTAAAAATTATTGAGATTATTAGGGTCCATTAAAAAAATAACAAATACTGTCAAAATCTGAATTTGGTAGAAATTTTTGTTTTAGTAATTAGTAAAAAATAATTATTATTTAAAAAAAATAAATTATTAAATTAAATTTTTCCTTAAAAAAAAAAGGTTTGATGACGTTTTTTTTCCCCGGAAGTAAATGGTATCAAATGCTAATTGTGAAAGTTGTTAATCTGTCTTTGAAACTTATAGAAGCAATTTTTTTTTTTTTTTTTTTTTATCACTGTTACTACTGAATCGGAACGTCATCGTATCATAGAATGTAGAGTCCGTAACAATATAATAGTGAAAGTTTTAAATTGTCCTCTCTTGATCGAAGTTTTGAATTATACACTATTGAAAATCAACCATCGTCAAGAGGGTTTTCTGTATCGCATATCCTATATATATAAAAAATAAATCCGAGATATTGAAAAGAATTTTTTAATAGAATTCAAAAGAATGAATTTTCCAACTATATATATATCTATATTAATTTCATATTCATAAAAAATAGAAAAGAATTTTTTTTTCATAGAAATAATTTTAAAAAAATTTTTATAAAATGTATATATAGTTTGCTGGAACAATTTAATAGCTTTCTATTATATTATTATACAGTTCCAGAAATGTCACCGCGACGTTCATGTGAATGGTGATTCAATGTTCTTTGTTTGCCTTTTGCCCCCCCCCCCGGTAAATATTGATAATCGATTAAATACACATTTGAAATGAACAGCGTTTCCAATTTTTTTTTTCGTATTTAGTATCATATACGATCTTTGAAATCTGCGATAGACTAATTTCCAATTTTTCATATTATTCTGATTTTATTTTTTTTACTGTGCAGAAATTTTTGTAATATTTTTATTTATTCGTTTTTAGAATTGGATGTTGGCAAAAATTATTTCACAAATATGCGAACATTTGAATCATATTTTGTTTTCCTACATTTTAATAACAAATTGGATTTTATTTTTATTTGCTTGCTCTTTTTTATCAAAAAAAATTTTCTTTTTTTTGTGAAAAATATGCAAGTTATTTTTTTAAAGAACTTTTACGAATTTTTTTTTATAAAAGTTTAATGATGCTTTTAAGAATATTTGCCGAATGATACAGTTTTGAAATATTCATCGTTGATGGATTCGAATGTCAAGAAGTGAATTATTTATAATATGAAAAATTTATCGTTCGCAGACAATAAAAGTGGCGCATACGATAAAACGTTTTTTTTTTATTTTTGGTAAATTTTATAATAATATAATGTTAAAATTAAAAAAAAAAACAATAATTTTTTTATTTTCTTTTCCGTCGATATTGTTCTTTATTATATATTATGTCTTATTACAAAACGTGTAGATAAATAATTAATTGAAATTAGCTATATACACGTGAATCGGATTAAGTATTATTGCTTATTCTCCCTTTTGTTCTGTTCCCCCTAATGTAATAAAAAAAAAAAACAAAAAGATCTCATTAATGTTTGATACAAAGAGATATATTTCTTTATTGAGAAAAATTTTCTCTTTTCGAAAGGACCCAAAATCCACTTTCTATTTATAAATTATAAATTTTATCGATTTTTTTTATTTACCCCAATGATAAAATTGTTTCTCTTCTAAACATGGAATTTTTATAAAAAAAAATTGATGAAATGAAAAATTATTTTTATTTAAATTTACAATTTATAATAAATAGTGAAAGTAATAAAATTAATAATTAATAAATAATAATTATTATTAATAATTATTATAATATAATAATTATTAAGTAATAAATAAATAAAAATCTATATTTTTTTTGTTTGTATATAAAATTATATAAATTATTCTAAATTATGTTTTTCTTTTTTGTTACAGGTGAGTTTTTCATAAAATTTGAATCCTTGAAGTATTGGGAGTATTTGAAAGGTAAATTACATAATTTTTTTTTTTTTTTTTTGTACAAAAACGAGACATTGCATTGTAAAATATTTAAAACACTTTTCTAAAAATATTCTTTAGCATTTTCGAGAGAATATTTAGGTTGTTAGGTCAGAGGTTTTCTGAACTTTATATAATCTTTATTGAATATTTCCAAGATTCCCTTCAATATGTATTTTTATTCTTCTCATTTATTATATATAAGCGAAATCAGCTTATTTTCGCATTTATGAATTTAGAACAGTTTTTTTTATGGTACATTCACCTGCTTAAATGTGCATTATCCCAAAATCGATTAGTGAGGAAAAAAAAAATTTCAAGTTTGAAACAAAAAAAAAAAAAAAAAAAAAAATTAACATTTCTTTTTAACACAGAAAATTAAAGGGCTTTAAAATAAGCTGCAACGCTTATTTTAATACCTTATAATTTTCTGTGAAACGATTTTTTATACCGAATTTTTATTTGGCCAGAATTTTTGTTTTTATTTTTTCAAAACTAATTCTGAATTTTTTGGATTTTCACGAATTTTTATTTAATAAAATTCATTAAACATCGAATTTTGTCTGAACGAATAATCGATGGAAACATTTCGGATCAATTTTTCAAAATTAATCTTAACACCAATTGGAAATTATCGATTAAATCGTGATTGGTCAATTTTCAAAATCGCGGCGAAATATTTCTGACGTAATTTCGGACAAATGAAAATTCTGTCGAATAAAAATTTGGATGAAGATTCAGTGAATTTTTGGAAATTCTATGACATTTAAAAATACGAATTATATAGAAAAAATTCACGATCTTTAACTGGAACAGCGATATTTTTTGTTTATATATCTAGAATAGCGAAAATTTTTACTGTTTTAGTGAAATATATTGCTGTTCCAATGAAACTTATCGCTTTTCTAGGTGAAGATTTTTTTCCCTGCAAGTATTTATTTTGAATAATACGCAAAAAAAAAAAAAAAAAAATCTTTACCTACATCAGCTATATGTTTTTTCACTAAAAACAGAGAAAGTTTTCGCTATTCTAGAGAAATATATCTCGCTGTTCCAAAGAAACTTATCGCTGTTCCAACTGAAAATGTTTTTTCGTGTCCCATAAAAATAGAATTTTTATTTTCATGAATATAATTTATTTTTTAAACGAATTTTCCTTTTTTTTGAATTGGCATTTGATTTTTTCAAATAGTGAAAAAAAAGGGAATTAAAAGAAAAAGGTGAGAAATCACACACCACTCGCACACCAGTGAATTAAATTGAGTGTATTACTGCGAGTGCATCAGAAGCAACTTTTAATACCGATCTGAACCGTACCGTGAAGTACCGCTCGTACCAATGATATTGTGAATAGTGTGCGAGAACGGTTTTTCCTAGGCACGAGCCTATTCGCGGACACACGTTTATATATATATATATAACTATACGTGTCGCAGTTTAAAGAGAGGAGGTGGAATATAGACAGGCAACCACTTCGCGGTTCTGAAGAACATCACAACGACCAGTCAAGCTGAAACCACCAACAGCGATTGTACTACCGTTTCGTCGATATTATTTATATAAACGCGTTTCGCTGTTGGAAATAAATTTTATTTTTTTTTTTTTTAAATTAACATTTTTAGTGAATTTTGGATTTAATTTTCTTTTGAATTTTAGTGATGTGAATATTATTTTGTTATGGAATTACAAGTGTGTGTTGTTGACAAGGATGATTATGTGTGTATGTGTCAACATACGTTATAAATTGGTCTGTTATCCGAGAAACCTGTGTGTACCGTATTGCAGACAAGGATGACGCGCCACATGGTAGCGACTGTTACCACTTAATGACCCCAGGGTCAGTTGTCAGTTGTCAGCTGATTGTCAGAGACAAGTATACCACCCCCCGTCGCTTCCCCTTTTTATAATGTCACTTTCAAATTTGCTTTCACGTCAAAAATTGAAAATTATATTTTTTAATTTAATTGAAAATTTTCATTTAATTTCTTATTTTTGAATTAATTTTATCAATGATACCACAATCTCTAAAACTGAATTAGTAAAAATGCGTTTACTAATTTAAAATAGTGACTCACTTTTTGCTTTAGAATTAGTTAAATTTTACTAATTGTTAGTAAAAGTTATACTAACAATTAGTAAAATTTTACTAATTCAGAAGCAAAAAGTGAATCACTAATTCAAATTAGTAAACATTTTTTACTAATTCAGATTTAAAGAGCAGAAAATTAAAAGGCATTAAAATAAACTGCAACGCTTATTAGTTTAATCTAATTTTACTTATTTTAATCCATTTTGGTATTAAAATAAGCCAAATTTGATTAAAATAATAAGCGTTGCAACTTATTTTAATACCTTATAATTTTCTGTGACACCCAGAGAAAAGATATATTTTTCTTTTTATTTGTTTTGAAATAAATTTTATTTCCGGTTTAAATAAAATTTTATTTTGCTCAAATATATATATATATATATATATATATATATATATATATATATATATATATATATATATATATATATGTTTTATTTATGTCGAATAAAATTTTTATTTAAAACAAATAAAAAGTTTATAGTTGGTGCTGTGACAAATATACGTTTATTTAATTCAAATAAAATATATTTAGTTTAAATATAATTTTTCTCTCGTTGTAGGTAGAATTAAATTTTTGCTATGTGAGAGAAAAGATTTTTTGGGAAAAAATTTATCATTTTTATTTGATTTAAATAAAAAAATTTATTTACTCCAAATAAATAGGCTGTGAGACAAATATACGTTTATTTAATTCAAATAAAATATATTTTGTTTAAATATAATTGTTCTCTCGTTGTAGGTAGAATTAAATTTTTGCTATGTAAGAGAAAAGATTTTTTGGGAAAAAATTTATCATTTTTATTTGATTTAAATAAAAAAATTTATTTACTCCAAATAAATAGGCTGTGAGACAAATATACGTTTATTTAATTCAAATAAAATATATTTTGTTTAAATATAATTGTTCTCTCGTTGTAGGTAGAATTAAATTTTTGCTATGTAAGAGAAAAGATTTTTTGGGAAAAAATTTATCATTTTTATTTGATTTAAATAAAAAAAATTTATTTACGCCAAATAAATAGGCTGTGAGACAAATATACGTTTATTTAACATAAATATATATTATATTTCGTACAAATAAAACATTTCTCTGAATGTATACATACGTAAAATATAGAAAATATTTTCTTTATTGGAAATTATATAGAAAACTAAAAAAAAATTCTTATATCAATTAAAAGTTAAAAAAAATATTTTAATGAGAAAAATTTTCATACAAAAAAAAAAGAAAAGACTTTTCTTTGATTTGAGAAAAATGTTTACTCAAAATCGAATCAGATAAAAATTGCTTTTAATCAAGAAAACTTTTCTTTCGACAAAGTTTTATGAAAAGTTAACTCTTTTCATTATATATATGTAGTAAAGAAAAAGTTTTCTTGATTGAAGAAATTTTTCATTCGATTTATTAAGATAATATTTACTTATCCGTTAAAACATTCGGTTATAAATTAGTTTTTTCACTTTCTTCTAATTTTTTCAAAATTTAAAGAATATTACATTTTTTCATAAGAAATAAAATCTTGTTAATTATTGTTAAAAAAGTATAATTCACATCATCTCCAAAATGATAAAAAAAAATCATATATAGAGAAGAAAAAGCATTTCTTGGAAAAATACAAGCTCACAATTACAGTTACAAAATTGAATTTGCAATCCAATTACTCTGCATAATGTTGTGAAATAGCAGAAATTTAAATGAGAATCTGAAGTAATTTCTAATTTGTAAAAGTAAAGTTCTCTTGCGATAAAAAAAAAAGATATATTTATTGAGATTGATTCAAGTGTTTAATATAATTATGAATAATTTTTTTTTTTGTAAATTTAGTTGAATATAATTTTTTTTTTAATAAAATATTATTTATAAACACATTGTTTTGACGATTATAAACTGTCAATTAAAATTAAGGTCAGTGGCACGAATCGATGCATTCAATAAGATTGAACATATATTATTATTATTTTTTTTTTTTTTGCTGTGTCGATGAAAGCATCCTCAAAAATGCATAAGGCGAGGTCGAATGTATATATATGATACAGATTTCACAAACACACTTTCATCTTTTTTATAAGAATCAAAAAAAGTTCTTCTCATCAAAAAATTTTCTGACAATTATCCTCATTTTATTCACAATTTACACAGACATACGTAAATATTTATATAATATTATAATTTTTTTATAATATACCCATCAATATAAACTTTATATTCATTTTTTTTTTCATTAAATTTTTTTTATTTCCCTATAATCAACTAATTTTAAATTATTAAAAATATACAGGACATTAATTTTTAAAACAACCAATTTGAGTATTATATTAAAAATTAATTGACAATTTAATAATATATTCTTTTGGTGAAAGTTTTATAAAGTTTTCTAAATTGGAAATTATTTTATAATTGATTAATAAATTAGATTTTTTTTCATTGCGATCCATATTCGTGGTTTATTATTTAGGTTATTTACAATTATTATTATTATTATTGTTATCTAATAATTAATAATTTTAAAAACTTGGAATATTCAATGGTAAATTGAATAATATATGATAGATTATTTTTTCAAATTTATTTTATTTTTTTTTTTGGTAAATGGTAATTGTGGTCTATGAAAATATATACAGTAGGATTTGAAATTAGAAATTTATAAATCGTTTTTTTAAAATGTTCTTCTTAATGGAAGTCGCATGAACGTGTTTATAAGATGCGATTTTCTACATTCATGTGTTATTAAACGAGTACATGACCTTTTCGTATAAAACATGACAATCATGGATGGAATGTAATAGGAAAAATAACGGATGAAACTGCGAAATGTGAGAAGTGTGGCTTTCAGAAATCGCGTGCACAATTCTCATTATATTATATATATATATATATAAGTTCAATTTTCACAAAACGTATATACTATCAGACTGTGACGAATCAAAAAATATCTATAATTTTTTATTTTTATTTTTTTTTTCCAAATCAAACACAGTTCACTCATCCTTGAGATCAATTTTTATATATTCATTTATAAATGTGAAAATATTCTGTTTTTCACTGTGAAGAAATTAGTTTTTTTTCTTCAAAAAAAAAAAAGACTTTTGAATTTAATGAAATGTCATGTAAAGAGTAAATTTTTATAATTAATTTTTAAAAATAGTTAATATTTTTTTATAAATAGTTGAAATATTAATTTTTTTGAAGAAAAAATTTTTGGAGAAAATTGATTCAGTCGTTTATATTGAAAATAGTATGAAATAGCAATTATGTAATTCCTTAATAGCGTAATCGTTAAAGCGTTAGGTTTCAAGTGCGTAGGTCGTGAGTTCGATTCCCCTCGAGCGTTAGAATAATTTATTTCATAAGTTTGCTTTCGTTCTGGATTGTGTGCATGTAATTGTAATCAATTCAGAATTTCTACAAACAATGTTTACATCTACAATAGTAATTGTATAATCGATGATAATTACAACTAATGATAATTTAAAAAAATCAATTTTAATTATAACTCGGTATTTGATAACTGATATTAATTCAATTAATGGTAGTTACAATTAATGGTATTTACAATTAATGGTAGTTACAATTAATGGTAGTTACAATTAATGGTAGTTACAATTAATGGTAGTTACAATTAATGGTATTTACTATTAATGGTAGTTACTATTAATGGTATTTACTATTAATGGTAGTTACAATTAATGGTAGTTACAATTAATGGTATTTACAATTAATGGTATTTACAATTAATGGTATTTACAATTAATGGTAGTTACAATTAATGGTAATTACAATTAATGGTAGTTACAATTAATGGTAGTTACAATTAATGGTATTTACAATTAATGGTAGTTACAATTAATGGTATTTACTATTAATGGTAGTTACTATTAATGGTATTTACTATTAATGGTAGTTACAATTAATGGTAGTTACAATTAATGGTATTTACAATTAATGGTAGTTACAATTAATGGTAGTTACAATTAATGGTATTTTCTATTAATGGTATTTACTATTAATGGTAGTTACAATTAATGGTATTTACTATTAATGGTAGTTACAATTACTGGTTGTAATTATAATTTCCTAGTAATTAAATTAATTGTAGTTACAATTACTGGTTGTTGTAATCGGTAGTTACAATTAACAAAAAGGTTATAATTTATGGTAGTTACAAATAATAGTTATATTTGGTGGTAGTTAAAATCGATGGTAATTACAATTAATTGTAGTTAGTCAATTAAATGGTATATATTTGTTTTAAATACAGAAATTATTGGTTCAAATACAGTTTATTTAATTCAAATAAAAATTATTTGGTTCAAGTTAAATATTTATTTTATAACAGTACAATTATTTGAATTAAATAATTTTTTTTTCAGTATAAAACTATTAATAATTGGATAAAAAAAATTTTAACAGGCAAATTTTTTTACTTTTTAATTTAAAACAAAATAAACAAAAATTTGAACATAATATTCTTCTGTTTTATGAATGAAATATGACTATTTTTGCGTAAGAATGAAATAGAATAAAAGAAGTCGTGGTGGCTAGTTCACTGACATAGATGCTATTTCTATATAGAGACACTAGGCTTTCTCCGGATCACGAACTTTTACTTTTGCCAAAGGCAAATTTATGTTCACTATATATGTCTCTTCATATAATAATAATGTATAGAAGATGTATTCCCGACCTTGCATTTTCATATGTGCGATGATACGTGTAAAAAAAAAAATTGCAACCTTTCGTTTTT